ATCAATAAATATAGTTAATATGACTGTTTAAATACCCAATAACTCCAAAGGGCTATGCAGAATAATCATGTGAACTATTTCTGTTGAGTAACTTTTCTATTACTGATCTTAGGAGATGACCATCAATAATCCAATTTGTTTAAAACACTGAATGCTATTTATAGAGAATAGTGAAATTTTTGTTTTAATTTTTTATTAAAAAAGAGTAAAATGCTGCTTATCTATAAATTTTTACAAATATATATGAGTACACACACAGACCTCCATGAAATCACCACCTGCATCAAAATGCTAAGTATTTTTTTTAATTTTAATTTTTCCCCATAGCTTTATTTATTTTTTTAATATTTATTTTAGTATTTGGCAGACACAACATCTTTGTTTGTACGTGGTGCTGAGGATCGAACCCGGGCCGCATGCATGCCAGGTGAGCGCGCTACTGCTTGAGCCACATCCCCAGCCCTTCCCCACAGATTTAAAGAGGTAAAACTGAAGTACAATAAAATGCATATATTTGAAATATGCAATTTGATCAGCTTTTTAAAATTTATTTATTTAGCCTAATTTTTTTGCTTTTTCTTGTTGTTTGTGTGTCTATCTATCTAACAGTATGGATCTGAGGGAGTATAGTTTCTACCCTGTGGACTTTTCTACCCAGTGTCCCTGAAGGTTTCCAGTACCTCATTGTTTAGTCATTGTTTATGGGAAGACAAACAATTACAACCAATGCAAACAACGAACAGCATTAAACCAAATAGTTTCTACTATGATGTCTATGGTGTTAATTATCATAATAAACAGAAATAATATGATCAGCTATTGCTTACTGCCTATAAAAACTGCAAGTTTGCAAAAGGATTTACATTCTCAAATGGTGGACAGGGAGAGAACAGAAGCGATATCGGATGTGATGATTGTGAGGGAGGAGGAGATAGAAAAGAGAATCAAAGGAAACAGGAGAAAAAATATATATATAAAACAAAAAAATTTTAAAAATCAAATACAAACTAAACATTCTAATCAAACATCCTAATTTACAAAAAAGCTAATCCATGTAAAATAACTGGCTTCAAAAGTGCTAGGGGTGAGTTGGGGTTGTGGCTCAGAGTGCTTGCCTAGCATGCACAAAGCACTGGGTTCGATCCCTAACACCACATAAACATACACACACAAATAAATAATAAAAAAGGAAATATTTAAAAAATATGACAAGGTTGAGAAGGAAGGAGGGAGGGGGAGGGGGAGGGGGAGGGGGAGAGGGGGAGAGGGAGAGAGGGAGAGAGAGAGAGAAAGAGAGAGAGAGAGAGAGAGAAACACTATATAAATGTCCATGTACCATTAAGGTCACAATTAAACAGTGAAGAGGAAATTTAAAAAAAAAAATCTTGATGAAAAGAAAGAATCCTTTCCATTAGAGTTCAAAATATTCTCAGCTTCTCAGCAGTTCTAGTTGGGGTCTTCTGGAGTGTGATGTTCCACCCTCTGGATTGCTACAGGGAGATAATCCTGGAGGTAGAGTTCCTGGAAGCAGGGTTTAGGATCCGGTGGGCTCCAGGCTCTTCACTGGATGCTAATTGTCCTGGAGATTTTGAATCAGTGTACCTCCAGGGCCCAGTACCTGCTAGACTACACTGGAAGACTTTACCTCAGGGATCTCCCCCTGGGTTCCACTTGTGTGGTGGAGGACCCAATTCTTAGTTCCTTGTATCACTTGCAGACCCCATATTTCCTGGTCTCAGATTCAGTCCAATCTCTTCTGCCCCATCCTTCCAAATTCCAGGCTAGGTGGTCTCCAAGCTGGTCCTGCAAAGCAGTCGGATTGGAGGAGGAGGAATAGAGCCAGGTGGGTTTCTGGGACCATCAGTATAAACCTCTCCAAGTTTGATTTTTTTTCTGGTCACTTAAGCACAATCTATGTCATGTGGCATGTGTTTACTGGGCCTGTTCTTTGGGCCAAACTCAAATTTGCCAGGAATCGGCTTCCTCTGTTGCTGTCCCCCAAGCCACAGTTGCAAAATGTTTTTCCTTTCTGCAAAGTGTTCCTATAAAACATTTCCTTCCAAAATATTTGTCTTCACAGGCTGCCTGGAGTGATGGTGGCTTCTTTCCCCATACTTGGGAATATAGTGCAGCACGTCTTTCAGGTTTGTCAGGCAATGTCCTTGGTCTCTAAATGCCCCATACACAGACATGCCTCCAGCCTCCCAAATGTGTGGGTTCCTTTAATTCCTTTATCCCTCTACTATGCTTAAGGAGGGACAGCTCTGGCTGGAGTTTATGGCAGTGGCTATGCCACTAGGAATTTCTTCCGTATTTTATTATATCCAAACTCCTGAGTCCCGGATCTGCTTTGAATATTCTTAAATTCCAGTAAAGTCCTCCCACTTTTCTTGTTGTTGTTCACCTTACTGAGAAGCTGTCAGTTTTCTTGGTTTCACTCCATGGAGTAGCAGGAACACAATCTCCTCTACTCTGCCATCTTCTTAATCTCTGGCCGAGTATTTCTTGTACTGAAAAGTTTCAGTCTTGTCCTTTGAAACTCTTGCCTACCCCACCACTATCCTAATTTTTGTCAGCATAAATTAGTTTTGACTAATCTTGAATTTCATAAAAATGGAATCATATACTATGTATTCTTTTCTGTCTGGCTCTTGTCACTCAACAAGTCTGTGAAAATCATCCACGCTGTTTACATCAACAGTATGATCATTTTTTATTCCAACGTATGATTTTACCATGATGTATCAATTTTCTTATTAATAAGACATTAGTCTGGAGTTTAGGAAAAATAAATTTGAGTTGCCAGGATATGATGGAGACGTTAGGAAATAGATGAGTTCACCAAGGGCATATAGATGAAAAGAACTGAGATATAAGACTTATCTCTGAGACATTCTAATACCCAAAGATCCAGGAGGTAAGTCTAAAGACTCTGGGAACAGCCATAGGAAAGGAAGAAAAGAAAGACTGGTGTCCTAGAAGCAAAGTAAAAAAACAGTACATCTCTAATACTGCAGATATTCACTCGTATCACTGAATCATAGAATATAATAAGGCGGTCTTGGAAAGAACAGAAACACTAAAAACTACAAGGTTCAATAAATTGGCAAAAATTACAAATATTCTTAGGTTCAAACATTGGCATTTAAAAGTAGATTTCTGTGGAATGTCAACTTTATCTCAATAAAGGTGGAAATGAAGGGAGAAAGATGACCAGAGAAGATTAAGGTTTGTCTATTCTATAAGGAACAAGAAAGTAGATCCCAAGAGATGGTTTACTAAGGGATAGGATTTACTCAGATATACTATTAGAATGAAAAGAAAACCAAATCAGCAAATTTACAATCTGTTCATTCAAGTTATTAAATAAATCAAAGTATCCATACACTTAAGTGTTGTTATTTCTGATTCACCTTCTTCAGGTTTCATTCTTTTCTTAAGGAATGAAACACACAGCTTGAAATTTTCAGTGCCTATATATAATTTTCAAAGATTAAGTAACCAGGATGGGACCATTAAATACACATCTTGGCTCCATGTATTCTATTTTCTTTTATTATTCCTTCTCTTGCAAAAGAGTAAAACTGGAGAAAAAGGTCATAAAATGTTCAATCATTTCTAATTTTTTTTCTCCCACTTCAATGTCACTTTATACCTCTTGACTTAGTTTTTTCCATTTATAAAATCATGTCCTGAATAAATAACACCTGTCTTATGCCTACACCATAACTATCATTTATCACTGTTAGAATATACCATGCTATGGGAGGATTAGACGAACTCTAGAAAGGGGAGGGAGGGGAAAGAAGGGAGCAAAGGGGTAAAAAAGATGGTGGAATGAGATGGACATCATTACCCTAAGATACATGTATGAAGACATGAATGGTATTAATATACAATGTATACAACCAGTGATATGAAAAATTGTGCTAATTGTGCTCTATATGTGTAATATGAGTCATAATAAATTTTGCTGTCATATATACAAAATAGAATTAAAAAAAAAAGAATATTCCATGCTCTATTCTAAGAGAATTACACAAACCAACTCAGCACTATTAAGTGGGTATTAACTTTTACTTATAAGGAAACAAAAGCATACAGACTTTAACTAATTTGCTCACAACCACATGGGTTTTCATATTGAAGAATCAGTACTTGAACCTGGTAGATATACCAGTAACTTTCTTTTTATTCAGTACTAGGGATTGAACCCAGGGGTAATCTATCACTGAGTTATATCCCTAGCTCTTAATTATCTTCTTTTGAGATGGGGTCTTGCAAAATTGCATCAGCCTCAAACTTGAGATCCTCCTGCCTCAGCCTCCCAAGTAGCTAGTTACAGGTATGCACCTAGTGTCCAGCTCTGAGTAGGAACCCTTAAAACACTGTGCTAGTAATATCAAATCAGACAAATCTAGTGAAAAAAGTGTGTGACAAATTAAAAATCACCTACAGGGGCTGGGGTTGTGGATCAGTGGAAGAGTGCTTGCCTAGCATGACTGAGGAACTGGGTTCGATCTTCAGCACCACATATATATAAACAAACAAACAAGTAAATAAATAAATATCATGTTCACCTACAACTTAAATTTTAAAATGTCACCTATAGAGGTATTTCTTGGAACCTGCTCAATTAACACACTTTTAAAAAAAGTTTTGTTGCTTATATTCCAAGAGAAAGATTATTTCAATACTTATTTTACTTTTAGTCTCTTAGAAAATATCTTCCTCAGACAACAAATAATCAAATTTACTAAAATCAAAATGAAATCCAAGACTTTTAAAAATGTACAACTAGCACCTGACATTAATAAATACAGGTTGTGGTCTTAATTATAACCCTTTTTCAATTATGTATTTAAGAGATTATAAAATTACTGCCCCAATAACATAAAATATAACATAAGCTTATGTTTTGTGGCAATTACATATTTAACATTCTTGTAGTCTTGGTTATTTCTATGAGAGGAGAGAAAATGAATTGAAAAATCTCTTACCATTGATCTTTCAGGATATCCAAACAAATAGCCCCTGTGACGGAACTAATATTAGGATGCCATATTTTAGTGATAAACCGGACCTAAAACATAAAACACACTTAAGTTTTCAAGTAACAGAAATAAAACACAGAAAAGTTTAAATAGAACTACAAAAAAAAATCAGATTAAGTGTCAGGATAATGATGTAATACTTTTATTACATCATTTGGCCAAAGTACAGAGACAAGTGCAGAAGACTAAACATTCTGTAAGCTAAATACAGTCACTAACAAGTTCTTTTTAGACTTTTTAATAAAACTTAATACTATTTATCAGGCATAAAGATTAGACTCTGAAGAAATAAAATCTATTGCATCAGCTCTTATTTACATGCTTTTGGAAAACCATCACCATTGTTATTATTTCTTTTTTTTTTTTCCCCCTTAGGGGTGGGTAACTGAGATTAAACTCAGGGGTAATGAACCTCTGAGCCACATCCCCAGCCCTTCTTTGTATTTTATTTAGAGACAGGGTCTCACTGAGTTGCTTAGTGCCTCACCATTGCTGAGGTTGGCTTTGAACCTGCCTCTGCCTCCAGAGCAGCTGGGATTTTAGGCATGCACCATAGTGCCTGGCTCAATCCTTTGCTTTTTTGTTTGGTTCTTTTCATACCAGGGATTGAACCTTGGGTGCTTAACCACTGAGCCACAAACCGAGCCTTTTTTAATATCTTATTTAGAGAAACAGGGTCACCAATGTGCTTAGGGCCTCAATGAATTGCTGAAGCTGGCTTTGAACTCAACATCCTCCTGCCTCAACGTCTCTGAGATGCATAGGTGTACACCACCAAGCTTGGCTTGTTTTTTTTTCCCCCCCAGTGCTGGGGACTGAACTCAGGGGCACACTACCAGAGGTATATCTCCACTACTTTTTTAAAAAAAATATTTTTAAGTTGTTGATAGACCTTATCTATCTATAGCTATCTATTTATTTATTTGTGGTGCCGACACTCGAACCCAGTGCCTCACACATGCCAGGCAAGTGCGCTACTGCTGAGCCCCAGCCCTCCCCATTACTTTTTATTTTTTTGAGACAGTATCTTGCTGGACTTGAATTTGTGATCTTCAAATTATATTATATTACCTCAGGGAATACAGGTGTAAGCCACCTCACACCTGGCTATTATTAGAGTGACCAATTAGTCTAAACTAAGTAACAGGTTAATTAGTATGTGCCTACTAATGTTCTAAATACTTGACAAAAATTAACTCTTCACTAATATGCTATAAATCTATTTCTGATAAGAAGCTAAGTAGCTTCCACTTCTTTTTGTGATTTCTTGATTTGTCTGTCCTATGTCTCTACTTCCTCACCTCCTACTCATTCACTAAGTCATATTCAATCTGAAAAAGCACTTTAAGTTATTAGTAAATTCAAAACCCCTAAAACTAATGTACATTTTCCACGTCTTCATTTAGAACATGTTTGCTCTTTTTCTATTCTTAAAATAGAAGCTTTTTTCAATGATACCTACTTCTCTCCATTCACACACGAAACCATCTCCTCAAAGGAGACTATCATTTTTCAAGTGGATTACTAGAGTATCTTGATTTTATTCTCTTTTGTTCCCTCCAATACATTTCCCAGACTGAATGCAGTGTACCCCTTTAAAAAATATGATTTTGTGTCCCTATCAGGCCCTTTAATGACCTCTCATTTATTTTATGTAAGACCACAATACTAGGGAGGCAATACTAGAAATTGAATCCAGGGGCACTCTACCTCTGAGATACATCCCCAGCAGCCCCCAACCTGCATTTCTTTCTTTTTTTTTTTTGTAAAAGATAGGTTCTTGCTAAATTGCCCAGGTTGGCATTGAACTTGAGATACTCCTGCCTCAGCTTTGTGTGTCCCTGGGATTACACCATGTACCTATCTTAATTCCACACTCCTCACCTAGCCCTTAAATTCCAATTTCACCTCCACCCCATATCCACTCTCTAGGTAGAGAAACTCAAATTGGTAATTTGCCTCTGGGCCTTCACGAATATTCATTTTCTCAGTAACATATCTCTTCAGCCTTTGCCACTAGATAACTCCTTGTTATAGTTTAGATATTAGGTATCCCCAAAAGTTCATGTGTCCATTATGCAATGAAATTTAGAGGTGAATGATTGGGTTATGAGAGCCTTCACCTAACCACTGCATTAATCCTCTGGTAGGGATTAGATGGTTAACTATAGGCTGAAAGGGTGTGGCGAGAGGAGGGGGGGCTATTGGGGGCATGCTTTTGGTGTATATACTTTGTCCTTGTTGAGAGGAGCTGTATCTCTCTCTCTTTCTCTGCTTCTTGGTGTAATCTCCTGAGCCACTTTCTCCATCACACTCTTTTCTCCATGATGTTCTGACTCCCTTCCCTCCCAGAGCAATGGACTTCACCATCTATGGACTGAGACTTTTTAAAGCTTGAGCCCCCCCAAACAAATTTTCCCCCTGTAAAATTTTTGTTGTTAGGTCTTTTTGCTCATAGCAGCAAAAAAGCTTACTATAACACTCCTCATCCTTCAAGTTTCAGTTTTCATATCACTTCTTCCCAACCTATTCTCAAAACATGCTGTATTTTCTTTTTTTTTTTTTTAAAGAGAGAGTGAGAGAGAGGAGAGAGAGAGAGAGAGAGAGAGAGAGAGAGAGAGAGAGAAAGAAAG